AATCTTGCGATAGTACGTATCATGAACATTTCTTCAGTTATTACATGTGCTCTCATTAAATGACTGGTTGAAAACTTTGAAACCTTCTCAGTCATTTGAATGGACAGTGGCTGCCGGTCCAAGTTCACGCTATTCTAAAATACGGCTTGGCAGTGGTACTCTTCCAAGCGACTGCATAACGACATGGCGGCCGTTAGACAAACTTCTGAACGTCACCATGGTCAAGAATGACGAACACGAACCTTGCCGACTATTCGCTTATTATTCTTGACTTTTGTGTAAGCGTGTGTATGTGCACTTCTTATCTTACTCACCGCATGTCTGCAACGTATTTTTGTCTGACTATAAATATAGATTCATGCTTGGTTAAACCGAGTTGGCTTACATGCCTTCTCCACTGCATACCATTTCCCTTCGCTCCCTTCTCTTTTCTGGCTTCCTTTCTCCTATACTTTTTCTGGATATACGATTGTATGGAATACACGTATTCGAAATTCATTCTCGTATTTGATTTATTCAATTCCGCTGTTCACTAAAGCGATTTAAGTCCATAACTGTGTGCAAGGATTGGCAGTTTATATTTATATATATATATATGTATATATTGAGAAATTCGCCAACTTGTTCATCTTCACGAACTTGATTATTAGAAAGGTTTGAGCCTTTCAACTAGTTGACACAAGTCGTAAGTCGTATAAAAGAAAACGTATGGATAGCTTCCTAGCTTGCTTAATGCAACCCTGAAAAACTACAACCCTATCTTTAAACGAACGATTAAACGTAGTTATCAGTATGGAATTCAATAAGTTAATCAGATAGCAGCTGAAAGGATTTACCTATTTTCTTACTTGTTGCAAAGAGTGCTCTTCATTTTATAGCCATCCTACAATCTTATTTAGTTATTTTATATTAACGAACAAACTGCAAGCACCAAATAAGCAGATTTAAAAACTTTAATTCGTAATGTGAAATCTGAAAAAAATCCAATTACAACATTCATAATACTATTAGTAATTCACTGTTTACACGTAATAGTGAAATAACTGGTAGGTACTATTTACATATTACTCGTAAACATGCACCAAAACTTTGTTTGTGATTTGGCCAGTGATTTCGTATTATGTTGACAGAAATTTTATTGTTAACCCTACAACAGACATCAAAACTAGTACTAACCACGAAATTTTGTAGATACCATGCTCAGAACGAACACGCATCGCTTTACTTATGAAGAATATTTGGCTGAATTATGTGGTACTCACAGTAATGTTATACACAATTCCTATAAATGTTTAAAAAGCGAGCAGAAAAGATAAACAACGTCAATTGTTACTCATATAATTTTTCTTTCTCAGACACCCTACGTAATTATACATCGGTCCAGTAGAAAACGATGATAAATATAATGGATAGAACTATTTACGCATGTATATTACTAATTTATATAGCATTCATAAATAGTTTAACGCCCAATATCTTCATCACTACCATAATTAGGGAGATGAATCATATGTAAATGATTTTAGAGCTCATTTTTGCTTGAAACTGTGATTTCGGTTTGTTTTTGAAGTGATAAATAGTGAAATTCACTTGGTTGAGCCTGAATTGTTACAAATAACCAGATTAAGCTGACTAAACATTCACTCGGGTTGTAAGCAACAAATACGTCAAACTACTAATAGATTGGAATAAACAATATGTAACGAGCACAAACATTACGAAAACTGACGTGTGACGAAAACAATGCTGTTAATAGCTGATAAATAACGACATCTAAAATTCTCGAAAACATGTAACATGTGTGCGAGAACCAGTTGTATTACATTTCGACCATACTGTAAGACTCCTATTGACAATATCACAGTTGACGCTTTGTGGAGGTTGCGTTGCGACGTGTGGGTGATGTTTGAGAATAAATCCACGCACAGTTGAGAGCTTCTAGAAACCGCAACCTTATATTCTTCTGGAAAATCTAAGGTATTAAAGATGGCGCAGGACGACATCACTCGTTTTATATGTGTTTTCGGTAGCATATCTCGATTGGGCTGAAAATGAGATGAGAAAAAGAAAAGGAGAGAGGCAGAGCAGACAATCTTCATGATTACTGAAGTTGATTCATTTGTGGTGGAATAGTTTAGGTATAACTACTTAGTTTAATTCTTTTTCATAAAGGCAATTTTTAAGCAAGATCACTTTTATAGGTATGAATGGACAAAGAACTGTGTACATACGGGTGGTTCAAAAAGGAGCTAAAAGTGTAGGATTACGTGAGGTTTTAATATATAGTACCAAAAACTGTATTTTGAAACACAAATGGCTATCCCTTTTTTATCGAAGCTATTTCAGTTCATTTTTATTTTTATAGATTTCATAAGGTCATGAGTAGGCTTCCATTTTGGCGGGTTGTCTGGTTTTGCTGGTGATAGGATTATTCCGTAGTAAGTGAAGCAACTCCACGTTACAAACCTGACGAAAAGAGGTATTTTGCATAATAGACCAGCGTCACTTCAATTGGTTCGTGACATTCAACTTGACCATAAGAAGCCGTAATTTAACAACATATTCTGCCCTACGGACAAGGGTGGATTGAAGTTGTCGCCGCACTGTCATGTTTAGTAGTCAGCAATGCCACCCTTTCTCGTTTTTGATGTTGGGCTCTTGGGTTTGTGGTGTTAGTGAACATTGCCTTGGTCTAAGCTCCTTGATGGGATACACTGTCTTTACTAGTTTCAGGTTACAAGCAAATCAGATGATTAAAGCTTTCGCATTGTGTGTTAGTTGTCAAAATATCATATCACACTGTAAAATCCAAACCTAAATTCCAATAGGTCTGGATGTGGCTGAATAACTCGGGAATAGTTTTGTGGACGCGTGACCCAATCGAAATCAGAACAAGGTGTTTTGGGTAACAAAGGTTCTAAAAAAATATTACCACACAGTTATTCAATCAACAATTGATCCCTAAATAATCAATCGAACACACCAAAAAGTAAGTGTTATTCTATCCTTTCTGGATAGATCAAGTAAGATTCTGTTTGAGCGGCTGTTCTATAATACAAAGTGTTTCAAATTCTAGGAAAGTGCTCCAATTTACAACCAAAATGCACGATCTCAGTCTAAAATCAAGCCGCACAATCAAAGAGCGAGCAGTCAATATGGCAGCCGCTAGAATAATAACAATTAAAACAAAATAAATACAGTTCCATAATAAACATAGAAACTCAATGAAAACGAAAGGAAAACCGAGAAAATTAAACGTTACAGTCTTAATTGGGATCAAAAAGTTAACAATATATACAAATAAAGAAACCATAAGGAGGAAATTGCAAATGTATACATGGAGGGATTTTCACCTTCAACATGGATCTAACACACACTGCTATGAAGATAAGTAAAGGTATCAGTTATAAGATACCGGTCAGATTATATATGGTTTAGAGACGGTAAGAACAGATAGAAAATCAAACAATATGAAACATATCGGGATTGTAAGTTTTCGGGCTAAGAAAACTGAACACTGAATGGCTCGTAAGGATTTAGGACATTATTTCCTCCGCGAGATAAGATAAGTAGTTTGAGTATACATTCTAAAGCCTAGTAAAGCTCTCAAGATAGTATTAACACTTTTTCGCTTTTTGGGAGACTAGGAAGAATGAAATGTATGAAATGGTGATCACAGGGGGGTTTTGTGGAGACTTTTAGTAATTTTATATAGTTAAGATCATGAGTCAATTGAAGCCAGACTCATTGGTCAATCGGTTAAGTGCTCTGGCGCGAGGCTAATAGGTCCTGGATTCGAATCCCGCGAGGCGAGGTCGTGGATGCGCACTGCTGAAGAGTCCCACAATAGGACGAAACGGCCGTCCAGTGCTTCCAGGTTTTCCACAGTGTTCTGGCTTCAATCGACTCATGATCTTAACTAAATAAAATGAAATAGTGAGTTGTATCGATAGGTAATCCCACAAAAAAGTGATCTCGCAAAAACATGACAACAATACTGATCTTATTAACTTTTATGGTGAAGATAAGACTAGTATTCTGATTTTACAACCTGTTGCCAGTAGCTTCTTCCCGACCAATGGAAATCAGAAGTCAGACGAGAAGAGGTAGGAAAGATATGTTTGATACGTCATCAGTATATGGCGAGGCGTTTATTCTAGGCTGGCTAGTGAACGTAGGAGCTGTGTCCCACGCTGAGCCGAAACGTGATCTGGTAGGGATGCATGGCCGAAAGCCTTCAGTTAAACAAGTCCACTTAAACAACATGATCAGCATCCAATAACGAACACTTAGAAAGCTATTGATTTTTGGGAATTATTTACAGCTACATTGGACTGGCAACTGAAACCGTTGTGACCATACAATGGTACAAAAGAATTCGAGAAGCACTCACTACAGACATGGTAGAAGACTTGCAGACCAAAGGGACGATTTTTCTTTTGGACAATATTATCAGAAAGAGTGTCTGGTAAAGGGTATTCCGATTTTTTCTTACCCGTCCAGTTCACTTTAAGCCTTTTCACCTGTTTTCGACCTCTGACCTATCATATCTGGAGATTCCACTTGAAAGAAGCAATTAACCCTATCTCTGACAACATTTCAAAAATCTATTGTCTTCAAACATGTATTTTTAGTAAACGCAACTTAAGTTTTCAGTACGTGTGAGGTATCAACAATGATAAATACTAAATCTCCATAAAACCCCTTCTGATAATTAACATATTGTTTAGTTAATTGCGTGATAAATGCATAGTAAACCAATTCATTCAAAGGATTAAACGATTTTTAGCCAAATATGCTTCATTTAGCCACAGCCTAGATAAGTCTATGATAAATCTAGATACACCATATTACGAATACAGTGATGTTAAGTGGCTTTGTGTTATCGTTTTTTTTCTGGTATAACAATGGCGCATTCAGACCTGTCCTTACAAGGTAAACGACATAAAATATTTTTGCATAACATGAACTTGCATAGTTGAAATAATGGTTATTAACATACAATCGATGCAAAGTGCTTGAGGATGTATAAAGATATCTGTAATAGTTCATAAATGTCTTAACTTGCATTCCACTCCTTATTTTTGTTTTTTCATTTGTCATCATGTTATACATGGGAGCACTGTTGCGTTATTCAAGAATTTAATAAAGAGAAACTGTAGTTAACATCTCAAAATCTCAATATGTCTTTGAAAAACTTGCTTAAATCACCATTTAATGTTATCTCCAGTTTCATTGTCTTGGTATGCACTATGATGGGTTTAATACCAGATATTTAAAGTAAAATTTAAGTGATTGAATTTGCATAATATGTGAAATTATAAACAAAAGGTACAATTATGCATAAAAAAGCTTACATACTGTTATGTAAAAACTGAATCACTCAGAAATAACTTGTGTAACAGTTTGCCATGTGTTTGTGGTTAATGAAAGCTTTGTGGGTAGGCAAATTGCCCCAAAGTCCATAACTGAAGCGCTTTAGTTGTCCTCGACGGGGATCGATGAACTGTTAGATATACGGTGATCCAAATGCTGGATGATTTAACTAGGGATCGCTGGCATTCCCCTGGCCCCACACATTTATTTGACTATATATGAATAGCTAGGCTGCCATGAAAATTTGGAAGTTTTTATGGGCTTTTTGTTATGCTCTGCCGGATCGTATTCTATTTATCAACTCCCAAACTGCTATATGACGGCATTGAATGCCGACGTGTCTATTTTAAAATTTCCTTTACGACATTATGCCCGATTACCCGACCTCTTTTATTTATTTTACTCCTTAAATAAACCGACGTATTATGCAAAATGGCTCACGAAGAATGTGTAGAAGATGTTAATGAGCAAGTGTTTCCAAGCCTGGCCTCGTATTCCTGAAGAGACCTCTGAATTAAGTTGATGGACGAAATATTCATGTAACAACATAAAATTTCATTAAGATTTGGCTTTCATTTCATTTGCTTCTTCACCCCAGAAAATTAAAACGCCTAACAGTAGCTATTCACAAAAACGTATGTGGTTCATTGCAAAGGATTTAAATGATTCCTATCGGAAAAATGTAACTTTGAGTGCATCAGTAAAACTTTACTGGGACTGAAAATGATTAAATCTGTAATATTTTTCACTTAACTGATTTTGAGATAAATAACTCCAAACCGTGTTAATTTTGACTCTTGCGGTACGACTGTGTCTCAGTAACAATTTGTATTTGGTGTCGGTTTCGGTGGTAAGCAGTTATGTTTCGCTTTAATGTCTCCCTAGAGAGACCTTTTTTGAGATCGGCAGTTAAATCTCCGCATAAACCAACCCTATATATTCTATTTTCCGTTTATATACCTCTGACATTCTACGTAGAATATCGTAACATACGTTACAGCATAAATAGTTTATAGATGGCTTATCTGAATTAAAAGAAGAATCCGTGTGCGAACATCCACCTGCTTGCAGTTATTTTGATCAAATTCGGCAGGAACATTGGCATTTAATCATCAGTCTTATAATTCTAGCCTAACTGATAAATATGACAGTCTTCGACCAATATTTGGCAAGCAATATAAACTCTTATTTGGTAGTTTTACGAGTTTCTTGAACATAGCCAGTAATTAGGAACTTCTGTCCTAAATGAAATACTTGATCCTACCAACGTTTGACATGGCTGTAGGCATGTCTCGATTGTCACAAAGTAGCAGATTCAAATGATGTATTCGGATAATAGTACGAAAGATTTTGAAAACACCAAGGGAAGCCACACGTCCTCATTATTCATGGCGAGTGTAATTTTGTTCAGTGAAGCTCGAAATTGAGACTGTAAAATAGTATGTTAAATATCATCACAACCAGGTGATGATCTGAAATTATGTCAGCTCTTCTCCTGGTTCCCATTTCTTCCATTGTCCTTCGGAATTTTTTGTTAATACAAATATGATCTATCTGGTTCTCTGTGGTGTGGTCCGGTGGGATCCATGTAGCTCTATGTATGCGTTTGTGTGGAAATATTGTGCCGCCTATAGCCAATTTGTTGGATGCACATAGATTTGAGAACCTCTCCCCATTATTGTTTCTCTCTCCCAACCAGTGTCGTTCCATGATATCTTTGTGCAAAGAGTCATCCATGCCGACTTTGCTGTTTAGATCTCCCGTCACGACAGTGAGGTCCTTTCTTGGGCATTTCGCTATGTTTGATTGCAACCTCTCATAGAACTGATCTTCATCGTCGTCGTTACTATCATTGATAGGCGCATAACATTGAATAACATTCATTGTGATCTTCTCCTTTGTTTTGAATAATGCTTGGATCATTCTGGATCCGTGAGATTCCCATCCTAGAAGTGCATTTCGTGCTTTTTTGGACAGCATTAGAGCAATTCCCTGAGTATGTGTAGCATTTTCCTCTTCGTGACCAGAGTACAGTAGCATCTCTCCCGTATCTAGCCTTTGCTATCCAGCTTGTGTCCAATGGGCTTCGCTGAATCCAAGTACTGCCGATTTGTGTCTCCTCATTACCATTGCTATTTGACTGGTCTTCCCGGTCTCCCACATTGTCCGGACATTCCATGTACCTATAAAATGTTTTGCTCTGGTTGTTAGAAGGGGCATCGGCCTCGTGACTTCGGAAGAATCTCGGCTTTCATCACGAGGCGTCATAATTCTTCCTTCAACTCCCAGAGCAGAGTTTAAATGGTTTGAATTATTTTTTCTGGTCGGCGTTTTTTAGCAAGGCTTTTTCCTACGGGATGGAGTCCCCGACTCCATGCCCAACCCTCCTCCTTTGCCCGGGCTTAAGACCGGCAGTGACTCTAGAAGAGAGCTACAGGCGGAGTAGAATGAAATGCCCTGATAAAAAGATCTATAAGTTTAAATCCCGTTGGTCCGCGATCCCAGATAACTGAAATTTCTACAAGCTTATCTTCAACTATTACCATATCATTAAGCTTAAGTGGTGTGAATCAAGAATCCTTACAATTAATAACGTTTCTTAGAATCATATATAACTAAAATTTTATTCATAACAAGGCAGACTTTGAGTTACAGCCTACTATTAGAGATTTATTTGTATTAGAAAGCGTGCTTGGCTGAAGCTTATCTGTAGTTCGTTGTCCTTATTATGCATCTGTTATGAAACTCAAAAGGGCGAGCTGAGTATGAATCCAAAGTTTCGTGTAGTAGAAGAACATCAGCATCGTTATTCAACAAATGGATGTTATAAACAAGGTGTTTTACACAGTAACACCGCTAATTTTTTTAAGGAAAATTATTCAGATCACTATTAATGGCATCTATGGAATCGCTGTATACTCTGAGGTGAGATAATAGGGATTTCCAAACATTTAAAACTTACGTGCAGAGGTGATGGTAAAATACTCTTAAGAACTGTGAATACTGAATAAAGAAGGGATTACCTGTAATACAGAACAGTAGATTTGGTGACAGTATAGATGGTAATAGAATATACGGCTTGAAAAATGTAAATCAGCAAATTAAAAAAAAATCGTAATGTAATTCAGAAACTTATGATCAAAGGGAAGATAAACAGTAAATTTACCTGTCATTGGAAACAGTTTCGAGCTGTTACTCAGTTTTTAACTACTAATTGCTTTATTCACACGAATCTTAACTAGGTAGTCTGCACCTACCTACATTAACTCAATTCAGCAGTTATTTTCCTCACGTACTAATGCCATATCTTGATTTGGCCTTTCCTAGATTTGTCCCAAGCTACTCCAATAATTATGAACGTCATGACTACCGAAGAGGAACATCACCCAAGATGCAACACTTTGTTTAAAAATCGGACGGTCCGTTCAGCACAATACGATAGACTTAATTATAGATGTGATACGCTTGTTCGTATTTTCAGGTCTTTTGTGGGATAAAGTCAGCCATAACTAATTACACCCATGTGCATAGTGTTTCGAGGGGAAGCGTACACCATGCTGATCAGAAGTAATTCGAAATTAGGGTTTCCATGATGATGAATAGTTTGACTCTGCGAATAAATAAATCTCATTCTAGACTAACAGATGACGAGAATAGATAAAATGAATGAAAACGCCACGAACAAGAGGGACACTATTAAGAAGAACACAACAATGGCAATTTATTCCTCTCCTACTAAATTTTTTTTCTCTTCGTCACAGTGGGGTGACAACGGTATACATACAATCTTACTGTCAGAAGAGTATTATCTGTTCATTGTATTGAGTCGACAATTAGCAACTTTAGCTGTTCTACATACGTAGGACAACTCATATAAGAACCATTTTGTAACGTAGTATCTAGTTCTCATATATCAATCCTCTTTCGTCTCTTTTAGGCTAAGTTTGGAGATTATAGATAACTACTTCTGTTTTCCGAACAATGTTTTCGGATGCTTTCTAAATCGACTGGTTTAGGGATTACATCTTGGAAACAGATTTATCCACAATTACTACTTCTTAACTTGGCTACTAATAACCCAGGGTTCCCGCTAATGTAAGATATGTTGGAACTGCTTTGTGGGTTGGTAGAGGTTCATGAAACAAACGCAGTGAAACGCAGAGTAATCGTATCAGGCTGGAATAGACTTGAGTATCACAACACCGGGTTAGCTAATGATGGCTTTATAGATATCGTTTATTGTTTAAAGTAGAAGCCCGTGAAGGTCCCATTTTCTTATACAAACATAAAAAAACATTTTGTGCTGATGACAATTGTAAAAGCCATTTCAACTTCGCATGCAACTTGTTTTTGGTTTGTTTGCAATTTTGGTTTATATACAGTGAACTTTGTATGTGCTAAAGGATACAAAAGAAAAAAACTCTCGGATATTAGCACTTACCATTGCTTTTTTGTTTATTTTGATTTCAGAACATCCACAATGGTAATTTTTCGCTACTACAAATTCCTTAAGTACTTCAGTCTGAGCTCCGCGTCGCTGAAATATCTGAAGATACTGCAGACAACCTAAAAAAATTCAAATTCCGGAAATCCCAGAACACAGTTGCCCTCATATGTTGTCCCTCGTTTATTAAGTGTTAATCAGTATCATGTTGTAGTGAAAATTGATAAAGAAGCTTTGACAATCGAACCAGAACAAACACTTGAAGTTAGTTTATTTTGTATGCTCAGAGAATTCCCCGATTCAGGATATTACAATTAAAAATCTCAAAGATTCTTTACCGTACCATCAACCAAGATATATTCTTTTAAGTTACCGATATGAAAAGGAGGATGGTCGAGTAACATTTCCATACTGTCTATTATTTTCAACTCCAATGGGTATGTGATTGTGTCGGATCGGGTGTTTTAATTGTTATTATTAAGTGATTATGGGTAGGGAACTAAATTGTTTTCCACAAAATCAGAAATAAGATTTGTGCCAAAGCATCAGTCTGATTGCTTCATTGCCTACTTTGCTAATTAAATTGTCAGAGAATAACTAACATTTATATATCTCTCAGTCTTGGAGTCCGGACATCACACTCGGGTAAGGGTGAGCTGAGTTCGCAACACATGTCCCGAATACCACATTCGCTCGCAGACTTAATCAACTTCATCTAGTACATCGTACCCGTTGTTTGACATATGGTTTCACAATAAGTGGATAATACTTTGTAAATCTATGATGACATACGCATATCTTTGAAAAGTCGTGTTACATACCCGAATTACAGGGTAGTCTCGATTGTATGGTCGACACCTGCAAACTGCTCATATCGTTTCCTTGTAAAAATCTGCAGGAATCTTGAGATAGTGTTCCTAGTCTTGTCGAGCTGCAGTCGTGCCGATAGGCTTCAAGAAGCACTAGTTTTACTACATCCGCACATAGGATTCCTAGAAACATTTTTGTGGTTTTCGCTCATTATTGTTGGTTTTAGAAATTAATGATGCTAAAGGATGGGCCAGTTGAAACGACCTAAAGGTACTATATATATACATATAAAGTTTATCCATTTGGATAGAATCTTGATTTAAGCCTACACGTTATTAAAAACTATTTATAGGTTCTGCTACAAACCTGAAAATGATGTATACAGCAAGTCTTACGAATCTGATGCATAAAAGCGGAGTTACGAAGGTAAGTTATGGGGTCCAGCATACCATGTCTTTAACCTTGTAGGTTTTTGAACTCAGAGAGCTGGAAGACCTTTCGGATGAATGGTTAAAAGAAAACCTGGAACGCACGGTTTGAGTTAATAAATTGATCTTCATTGATTGTTCAGATCCAATTTTGTTAATTTTTTATTACCTAAATGGAAATCTATGTTATATTTTATTCTCTTTTATCACGACAAAAAATATAGAAATAGATTAAAAGTAGAAGTACACGCTGTAGCAGAAACCAACTTATTTGGTAAGAACATTTCCGCTTACAGACTTCGTTAATCACTTCGAAAAACTCTTCTGCTCGATGCCAAAAACTCCTTATGACTATCCAGTGTACGGAAACAATCGTTAAGTGGCTGTCATGCATGATGCTTACTCCCATACTTTCCCCAAATCAGGTTTCATAAGTAGCAGTCTCAAGAGCCCTCCGTAATTTGTTACTTCAGATCTGAAATATCCAAAAGAGATTTAAAGTCTTTCTCAATTGATATTTAATTTATTTCATGCTGGAATACCTACATTTCTGCGTGACATTTCGATGTAATGTTAATATTTGACTAGTGAGTTTTGCTTGCTTAAGACTAGACTTTCATTGCGAAACTATAAGTCTGATTTAACCCATTCCATCTTTACAATTAAGGTTTCAACGAAAACCTAAGTGACTTTACATTTTATCTCCAAGTTTGAAACTGTAAAGTGAGAGTCTTTCATCAAGTCTGGTTTGTAAGAAATGAATTCAGCACGCAGTTACTTGACAAACAGACAAGATGCAAGCTTAAGGGTGAGAAAACTGTAGTTTACTCAAAAAGAGTCAGTGTTTGACAAGGGTGAATAGTTTTTAAGGAACGTTCCAACACTTTGATGAGACGAAGTTGTACAAACACCTAACCAAGATTGGCAGTTAACTGTGAATTCAGTAATAAAGAAAAATCTGGCGAGAAATAAATGTAACCTTAATACACCAAGAAACTCATACCAAAACTTCCGGGGTAGTAACTCAGTTGTCAAGTTGTGGCATTCATAAGCGGGAGATGAATCTTAAGTAAAAGCATGACAACAAGAGGATTTTGGTCTGGATAGGGCTTATGGTTAATACAATTATATCTCTCTAAAGAAAAGTGACTAGACGTATTTTCAGATAGTGAGATGCACGCTGCAATGACTAAAATACAAGTATCACCGCGCTCTATATCACATAAACACAGGTTACTCTAATAAGCAGTAGACCGAATGGCGTCATTGAGCGATAACCAAATTAATGATGGAACAAATAAAAATCATATTTACAGGATTTCTAGCCAAATAGTTAACGCATTCCAGCTCTAGCTTTCTTTTTTCTTGATAAGTTTTTCAGTAAGCTTGGTGTGACTCGTTTAACATCTCCATACCTCCCGGAATACGAAGAAGAATACAATAGTTTTTTTCGAAAACTGTCACATGTTTGACGAGCTGTGTTTTCAATATTTGCGCTATCCAGCATTCGAACATGAATCCCATTCAACCTGTTTATCTTTTTCCATGACTTGTGATTTCGTGTTTCAAAATCAGATCCTTTGTATTTCAAGGTGTTGGAGTTGATTGTAAAACAATCAACATTGTCAAAAAGTATTGTCTTTGATTTCTTCTTATCGTGCTCTTCACTGCCATCATAACCTTCATCGGACTCTGAAACGAATAAGTGAATTTTATGAAGAGCGTAGCTGCCAGCAGAGATAATACCATACATATTCTATTAACTGTGTAGGGCTTAATAATAATTTTATCTCTTTATTTAAACACATAAATATTGGTACAAGGAAGCACGAGATACTTATGCGCCCCACAAATCCCATTTGATTTGTGTGAGGGCTGTGATACTTCCCACATGCCCAAACTGAAGCAGGTGGTTTTTTTAGGGGCCCACACCCGGAGCCTTTGACCGGAAGATCTGATCCACAAGGCAGTGGAGCATCGTGAGGAGATGCAGTCCCATGGTAGCCGGTGATCAACGATTGATTCGTACGCCATTTGTTCCCTCAGGATACTGGAGCCCATGTGCACCACTGGTTTGGAATCAGGGTTTTCCAACTCCCCTAGGTGGACTCTCCGTGTCCACCGACCCGGTTAAAGCGCCGGACATTCGCTCTTCGTCCTCTCACTTTCGTAAGCAACATCCTCACCACGAGAAGGCAGTGAGTAGGACTTCTCTGGCAAAGGCTATATACGCGTGGCCATGTGAGAGCATTTCAAGAGGGAGAGCGGACTCTCCCCACTCTCGACCAGAGCATTTGAGGGCTTAGTAATGAAGCTGTATCATAGGTTGGCCAGACTTCAGGTTTATTTGTACGAATTTAGAAGAATTATATCGTATTGTGGTCGATGTTGGCTCTAATCAGCTATAGATTGTCTTATACAGACACCTGACGGTATTCTTAAGGACCTTGGTCAAACTGATATAGACAAGTGTGAAACTAAGAGCTGAAACAAAAGAAGAACCAAATGAACATTAAGGGCCTTGATAAACGTCAATCACGTTGTAGCATTGCATACCTCACTAGTATGGTTTTAGCGAAAATAGACCGTAACAATAGATCACTAATAATAAGAACATTCTGCTGGAGATATTGCTAGATCCGCTGGTGAGCTCGTATGCAAGTCATGAGCACGTAATCATCAGGAAATTACAATTACTATCCACGAATTTGGTTTTTGCTCAACAAGTCAACCAGAAACAAAACTAACTATTCATTACTGTGAATTGAGTAACGAAATATGGAAATAAACGTATCTATTGTGTGGGGATAAACATAACCTCAATATGCTGTACGTCATGGTAATAAGACAGATATAAATTCCTACATCAGGTGAATAAGTCTGAATGGGAAGCACCATGAACAACAACATGAAGTGTGATACCTTTTAAAATCTAGGACGAATTGTTAAACCTTACAAAATACGTACAAGTAAGATTGCTTGTCCTAAGTATTGCCTTAAATACTGTGTCAAATGTACTAGTAAATAAATGCTGTTGATGTATTACTACTGGAATGCCAATCAGCTGAACGTACATAAATTGGGGCATGGTATAAACAATTATCGTCAAGAGTTACAAGCTCATGACATAAGACCAGATTAGAAGTGCAGTTTCTTGCGACGACTATCAATTTAACAGAGCTTTCGGGTACGTATTTTAGCACGCGATTTCTTCTATTAAAGTTTTTGGTAGATAGGAAAAGATGAGTCTGAGGCAAGTTGTATGACGCGACCCAAACAGAATTGACAAGTTTACATATTAAAAATCAATCATTGTACAGGGATAGTAACTTACCGTTGCTGTATAGTAGTTCATTCTCGTTTGGTGAACAGCTGGCTGATATGTCCAAGGATTGAGATTTATTTGGTATGGAAGGTTGATCACCATCGTCTTCATCAAACTGAAGATGATCTGATGGGTTAAAATATCCCGGACAGTTAAATTCCTCCTCTAGATAATCCTTTTTTAATGTAGTTATGTATATGGTGGAAGTGACCTTACATTTGACTTTTCCTTATCCTTCAGCGGTATATACTAATTTTCAAAACACTAGTACAGAAAACGCATAAGACTTACTTGGATTTCTTGATGCTCTATTTCACTAAACTGACAGACATCCTAAAGTGGAAAATAATAAACCGAATTGAACATAACTGTTTGTTTGCGTACACCACGCTTAGCTTTGCGGAGTGCTTTGGTTTTTATGCGATTTTCAATAATTGTTTTACTAATTTTTTTCTGGTGATTTTCACGTTGCTTAGCTTGATCAGTAAAACTACACGAAACTGGAAGATCCATTTCAGCTTCCTCCTTGTCTTCTTTATCTGAACTAATAGACTGCATCTGCAAAGGATTAGTGAGGCGATTAAGAGTATTATTTAAATAGGATTTTAGTGAATAATTTAGGATATTTTTAGTTTGGATCCCATTAGAACGGTGTCTACATTTGTTGCCGACGAGCGACAATCAGCTTACTGGAAGTAGAAAACAAAACCCGATAGGTAGCTTCGAAAACGCCCTAGGCTTTACTCTGACAATCTATTTAGTGGTCTCACAGCAACTAGCATTATTTCGATGACAATGCAACGCCTAATCTTTCTTCTAATCCCTTAAGTCTGTCTCACAGTAACAGTAGACAATTGGTAACCAACTGTCCTTTATGTAGGCTATATATGCAATCAGCATTTTTGCGGGTTAGTGATCCGTCTAGATTTGATCGCAATGAAACACTATTAAACTAACTTGAACCTGTCATAAACTGAAGTTCGGATGAATGTTTTTCGTCACGAACGATCTAGAGATTCCATTATTTTATAGCACCTTACCTAAAAACTCCGCCCGTAGCCCCTCCGGGGAGAAACTGCTGGTCCCAAGCCCGGATACAGAAGGAGGGTTGGGCGTGGAGTCGGAAACCCCAACCCGCAGACAAAAAAACTTGCTAAAGAAACGATAGCCAGAAAAAATAATTCAAACCATTTAAACTCTGCTCTGGGAGTTGAAGGAAGAATTATGACGCCTCGTGATGAAAGCCGAGATTCTTCCGAAGTCACGAGGCCGATGCCCCTTCTAACAACCAGAGCAAAAACTTTTATAGGTACATGGAACGTCCGAACAATGTGGGAGACCGAGAAGACCAGTCAAATAGCAATGGTAATGAGGATACACAAATTGGCAGACTTGGAATCAGCAAACAAAAGTTTTCTTTTAATTTAATTCAGAAAACCTGTGTGATATGCACAGTATGTTCGTTGAAAGAGTAAGGCTAGTAATAATATGTGGATTTTATTTTTCCATATTTCCACATGAAATTTTTGTCCTTACATAAAACTCGATGGACCAAGTAGACCTACCTGGGATGGATTGTTTGTTTGTTCGGGATGTTGCACTAAGCTAAGTTTGCTGATAATAAGACTAATTATTATAATGGAATAATTATTATTATTCACCAATTGTCAATAACATACGACCGATCTAATTGCTAACAATTCGAATCACATATTTTACATCATTCATTATCGTTTAAAGTAATTATTGTTTATACCTCTGAGGTTTATAGAAATGTTTTTGTGAGTTTTTATTAGGCCAATCAACATAAAAGCAATCTTATGAAAATCTGAACCGTTATGAACCAGAGATTTCATTTGTTCAACATAAGCTCCCTACGTCGAAGTATCGTATACCTTTTGCAGAGACACAAAGGGTAGCTATTACCACATACTTGACGACAAGTTGGCAATATGCTGTCACATGAAAATCCTCGATGTGAAGTTATAAGTGATCTTCCAAAGGTGTAATACCAGTCTACGATGTCAAAAATATCTCTTTACAACGTGACACGAAATAAGACCAGTAGTTTGATTAAGGAATAGACAGCCAAATATTAGTGTAGGAGTTATAGTTTTTACTTATACTCTGGCTTGAATCCAATACACTTATGGTCTGATTCTAGAACAGATTTTAGATCCAAATTATTTTGATTGCAAAGTTGCCTGTTTAAGCTATTCTGTATAACAAAAACATAAAACCCTAGATTCAAGCGTAAGACGACCCAACGTACACCCATCACCGTGAGGTTTGTGCGCGTAAACGTTTAAGTGATTGACCTACGCCCATAGTGTGCATAAACAAAGGTTCTTCAAGCTAAAATAGAGAGAGAAATACATTGTTCTTTTTGCGTTCCTGTGTACAACTCAACTCTTGGCTGAGTGTTTCTTATGTAAGGAACTTTTTTAGTCATCACCTTAAAAGGAAATATGGTTTTTCCAGAATAACTAAATAACCTTAGAGATTACTTATGTATCAAACTTATCAACAGAGCGTAATAGTTAGTTTGTTCAAAGCGACCATGTAGTAACAAACAGCGTAGCTCCGTCGACTTTACTTAGATGCTCTGTAGTTCAATGAACACGAGATTCCTATCTAAAGCAAATAATATTAAAATCTATATCTGTGGATAAATATGGTTTGGGTTGAATGAATATAAAGATTTTGGTGAACTAGGTTGTCTGTCTGATAAATAGTACTTGATGAAGAACTTTGGTGTGAAGACTTCGGATCAGGGTTATCCCTCTTCTGAATAAATGATCTTAGTTATCGGTCAACCTCAGTTTTGTTATACGCAGAAGATATGGGTATATATGGAGCAAAAGTAGGCGAATGAATTAGTGTGGAGCTTCGAAAACACTGATAAAATGGGCTAATATCTAGTGACTTCCAATAAGTTTCTCCAATTTTATAACGGCATACAGTGATCGCAAAGTCACCCTAGCTTTTAATTAATTTTTAGTAACTCAGACAGCATGTGACTACTGAGACATTTTTAACCAAATCTGCCGTATGTTGGAGACTATCCAAACTGAACCTATTTCATTTTTCTTACAAAAGGATTAGAGGTGGCTTATTTACACTCCCCACTCAATTCATCCTTTCGCCTTGAACTCTTTTGCTTCTAAGAGGAATTTATGGGTGTATTCCTAAGATGTTTACAATCCTATATCCGAATAATTTCGTCATTGACTACCGTTTTACAATTAAACCCTTCACTTCAGTGCACTGGTATGGAGCTTATCGAGATGTCAAAAGGGATGTCGAGACATGAGAAGGAGCACCATCACTAGTATTAATACAGATCACTGAATATGCTGCTGATCCGATACGGAAACTTGCAGACTCAGCACAATGGCGACGAAAATTCAAACACTTGACAGAACATACAATATGTCATATGCTAGATAAATTCATTATTTTGTATTTAACAACAAATACTAGTTTAATAAAGATTCCCATTGTGAAAATTAGAACAACACATGTAAGCGAACAATTGTTTTCAATTAGATCGTCATCATGTTTAACTCTAATACACATGAATATTTATACGAAAATTTTAGACCAATCAAAGTAATTTGAGTCAATAATCACAACGAAATAGAATACGTCACCGAGCATAATAGCTAAAAGCACAAGTTGATAGTGGGAAGACAGGTGTACTGATAGTAGTAAGAATATTAAATTACGATAACAAAAGTCTTATCAATAGTTAAACATAAGAAATAAGAGGTCAAACGTGGGTAAATGGACTAGAATAGTAATCACAAAACATTAAAATCATTACATAATAAGAAGTATGTAAGTAAATAGATAGTGAAGAATACAAACGGAAAGAGGTAGAAAATTAAAGACAAATGATAACAAAATGAAGTTAATAAAAATAACTTTTACAAGTAATAATAATAATGTCATTTATTAAGTTATGTCCGGCCAAAACTAAGAAATGAGGAAACCTTTATCATAAGCGAACCTGATAAAGGAGGAGGCATAGTCCTAATGAACAAAAATGACTACGTTGAAAAGTTGGAAACAATGCTTAGCGATCCCAAAAAATTTCAAAAAGTCACCAGTCATTACGATATCAATAAAAAAAGTGGAAAACCAATTAACAAATTCCCTTAAGGATTTAGAGAAAAAGGGAATAGTTACACAAGAGATTCATGATTTTATTTGGCCGACTGGATCTTATACATCACGACTTTATGGTTTGCCCAAAGTTCATAAACCAGGTCTTCCACTTCGTCCAGTCCTAGACATGTTCAATTTCCCTCACCAAAAAATTGCGAAGTGGTTAGTACGTATCTTAGAGCCCTTGAACAAATCAATTGTTAGTACGAGTGTAAAAGATGTAATCGACTTCACTTCCAAAGCGGAAAATATGAATGTTAGTATGAAAAATATGTTCTCACTAGAGGTAGTATCCTTGTTTACCAACGTACCACTTATTGAGACTATTGAGTTCATATGCGAGCAAACATCTGAAAAACAAATCAACATTGGCTTGTCCAGAGATTGTCTGAAACAATTGCTTTTAAGATGTACGATGAATGTTCATTTTGTCTTCAACAATTCCTATTATAGACAATTAGACGGTATAGCCATGGGCTCACCTCTAGGCCCGATTCTCGCTGATCTCTTCTTAGCTAAGCTAGAAAATGGTCCACTTAAGGAGGCTATTATGAAGCTCGATCTATACTGCCGCTACATTGACGATACACTCATTGTCGTGGGTCAGAACACCAGTAAGGATGAACTAATAGAACAGTTCAACAGTGTACATCCAGCGATTAGCTTCACTGGTGAAGGTGAGTATGACAAAAAGCTGAGTTTCCTTGACGTTACACTAAGCAGGCGAAGTGATGGCTCGTTAAGTAGAAGCGTGTATAGAAAAAGGCCCTCTGCCTGCCAATACACTCACTTCTATAGCTTTACACCTATCCAATATAAGAGAAACTTGGTTAAATGCCTCACTAGTAGAGCAAAAAAGATCTGTTCTGTTGATACTTTAAGTCAGGAACTGCAATTTATCTATAACTCACTGACAGAGGTCGGCTACCCTGCTGCGTCCATTAAAAAGTACATGTATGATACAAGAAAAAAGTCGGAGATTTCAACTGTTCGTAAGAAATTTTTATACATGAAATTACCATTCAACGGGGATGTAGCTAGTGATACTCTGAAAGATAGGTTAACAGTGATGTCTACTCAAACGAAGGATAAGTTACCTGAGTTGGCCTCCTCCATGTGCATTTATAATATCAGCTGCTCCTGTGGAGATAGCTATATCGGGCGTACTACTAGGCAACTTAACCAACGAATGAGTGAACATCTACCAGCATGGTTTGGATAGGGCCAAATAAAAACAATACGCAGTTCTATCTTGCCACATCTAATTGATAGTGGTCATATTGTGTATAAATTAAAATCATTTCAAGTGATTTATCGTATACCTCCATAATTTCCCAACGGAGTTCGCTCCCGTCTCCTTCATATAGCAGAAGCCATAAGAATTCGTACATTTCAACCCAATTTATGTGTACAGAAGAAATTCGTAATCCCCCTATCCCTTCCATGGCCGGACATAGCTTAATAAATGACATTATTATTATTACTTGTAAAAGTTATTTTTATTAACTTCATTTTGTTATCATTTGTTTGTAATTTTCTACCTCTTTCCGTTTGTATTCTTCACTATCTATTTACTTACATACTTCTTATTAGCCTTTCTAGCCAAGCCTTCTTTTATACTTATCACTGTAACGTGGTGTTATCCAGCAGTGGCCGATTCCGAATTAAATATCCAAAACTATAGACTCTATCGCTGTGACAAAGAAACTAAGAGAGGAGGCGGTTGTCTTATATTTGCTTTGGATACCTTAACAACTAACAAAGTTGAAGATAGTATGTTGAATAATTTACCAGAATCGATCAGGATATCAATCAAAACCCCAAACCATAGTCTACTCCTAGGTTGTATGAATAGAGCTCCTGATAGTACTGATAATTTGAATGATCTTATTATCAATGCATTTATACACGCATCTACTCTAAACTTCAATGCTAAGATTATCACTGGTGATTTCAATTATCCTGGGATTAACTGGAGTACCGGTAGTTGTCAGTCTAGCAATGATGAATTTTTATCAATTTTTAATCTGTACTGCTGTTCACAGTGGGTTCGTACCCCAACAAGGGGTGATAATACACTTGATCTAATATTTAGTAGAGATATCATTCCCCTATCTGTACAAGTATACAACGATTTTGAAAGCAGTGATCATAGGATTGTAGCTTGTGCTCTCACCATCCATCCCTCCTACAACCGACCAATTCAAAGAACCTGCAATTATAGAGACTATAAGCATGCAGACTGGGACCTCTTGAGCTCATTGATCAAACTGTCAGACTGGGATGAATTCTTCTCATGTAATAGTCTGACAGATGCCATCAACATATTCTTTTTGATTGTCAACTCTTTTCTAGACTCCTGTGCACCAACTAAGACTTACAGGATTAGTAAACATTACGAATTATATATACCAGCTAAATATTGTAATAAACTAAGACGCCTAAAGAAATGTTATTTTAAATCTAACGACTTCACGGCAGTCACACAAATAACAATAATTTTTAACCAAATAAAAGAGAAACATAGGTTAAAAGCCATTAATGAAGAGTTATTAGCACTAAGCACTAGCTTAAAAGTGCAAAACCTAATCCACCTTTACAATAAACGTGCTAAATCAACTCAAAAGGTTGATATACCATGCATCCTGTATAATAACAGTTTTATATATGATCCAAAAATTATAGCAGACCTTTTCAGTGATAATTTTGCAAACGGCGAAGAATCCATAAATGTGTAGCGGATGTCGAGTCGAGGACGGACTATGATCACCACTACAATTCGATTACGCGCCCAAAAACGACTTGGTTCCTTTGATAGCTCGTAAATCAGAAGTCTTTATTAATCCAGATCAAGTATATTTATTGGCGATCTCGTGGTATCGAAATAATACCGAGACGTGCCAAAGAGTACAGGCAAAATGAGCAGTGCGTGAGCAAGTTCGAATCAAACAAGGCGGAATAGCGAAACCAGAAGCGAAACTGATACAGTTAAACAAATACAGTAAAACAATCTCTGGTATAATTGGTCACAATAATAATTGTTTCCGTTATTCCAATCATGTTCTTATCGAGACTGGCCGGTCACTACATATGGCTCTGTTTCTAGAGTTATATGCATGACTGGTAACTCAATTAAATCTATCTCCTGCACATGCCTGAAAATT